TTTTGTTCCAAATCGAACATCATTTTTTTTTTCCAATTTTGTTCAATGTTGATAATTTTCTATTTAAAACCGTATAAATATTTTTTTAATACTTTTAAACCGTATAAATATGTTTTTTTTTTCATTTAAAAACCATAGTTTTGTATAAACCCATTTTTTTACACTCAAACCATATTTTTATGTATAAATATGTATTAGTTATATAAAAATTGTATTTTATATTAAATATGCAACTTTAAAATGTGTTTGGAGGTTTAGAGGCGTGTAGTCGATCAAAACTCGGATATTAAGTTTGCAACCCATCAAATTTTTACATCTTATTAGAAGCTTATGGTTAGTTTGATTCTCATGATATAACTAATGCTTTGAATGTAAGAAAAAAAACACTTTGTATCTAAATAAAAATGTGGTTTTTAAAAATAAAAAATATGTTTATACGGTTTAAAATGTAATAGAAAAAAATATATTTATACGGTATCAAATGGAAAATAGACAAAACTGAATAAAATTTGAAAAATGATGTTCAATTGAAACAAAAAAAAACACATAGTGTCAAAATTAAAATAAAAAATTAAACTTAGTGTCAAAATCGAAAAAAAATGAAAACTTAGTGTTTTTTGTGGAAACAAAAATCAATTTTAACACATCAGCATATCATGTCAGCATGACATATCATCAAAACTAACATGTCATCATGTCACGTCAGCATGTAACCTGGTTAACCGGTTAAATGGTCTGAATTGTAACAAATTGAAAAACACAGTGTCAAAATTGACACAAAAAAAACACGGTATCAAAATCGAATTTCTGTGTAAAAAGAGTGTTTTTTGTGTCATTTACCCTTCTTTCTTTCATTTCTATTCCACATTTTACTATACCTAGGCCAATTGTATGCGTAGAATGGTTCGATTGAAAATATGGTATTGGCCAGATCATACACTAACATTTTCGAAATAAATACGTTACTTAACATAGATTGTCATATTTTTACAATTAATCTAAATCATTTAAGCAGTAGCTTGGGGAGTTTGGATTGTTCAACGCATTAAATGCTTCAAAATGGAAATATATACACCAAATAGTGAAAAAGTTTAATGTTGTTTTCACTACAAGATGAATACCCAAGAGCCTAGAGTTTTCGACGAAGAAGTTTTAAACACAACAAAAAAATTTGAGTATCTTAAAATATCAAGAAAGATTTTTGTTATTAGGCAACATGGAATATTTTAAAGAATTTAAGTATTTCTTTTAATTTTTCGTTTGTCTTTGTAGTATGGTTTTTTAGTTTTAGTTTTTTCATTTTAATATTTAATTAATGTTATTAGTGTAGTTTTTTAATTAAATGTTATTCTGAAAGAATAACTTTTTTTTTATAAATATGTTTTATTTTATTTTAAAAGATAATATAGTGAAAAACTAATAAACAAGATCGTAAATTGAATTGATGGAAATGGTTCCACTCCCTCCACTAAGAGTTATAAAAGCAAAAACAATTTCCACTTTCAATATCCTTTGAAGTGAAAATAAGTTAGAGTCTAATCCAATTAGGGCTGTAAACGAATCGAACGAACACGAACGAGGGCTTGCTTATGTTCGTTCGTTTAAGTTAGCCGAACAAATAAACGAACACGAACGGATAAACGAACGAATTTTCTTGTTTATGTTCGTTCATTTAACAAATTACATTGTTTATGTTCGTGAGCATGCTAAACGAACATAAACAAAAGAACACAAATGAACAAAGATAAACAAACATAATTAAACCTATATGAACATAAATGAACATATAATATAGTAATGTAATCAAACACAATTAAGCATATATGAACATACAAGGAACCTATATAAACGAACAACTTAAACGAACGTTAACGAACATAATTGAACGAACAAGACCATTGTTTATGTTCGTTCGTTTAACTAAACAAACGAGAACTTGTGTTCATGTTCGTTCATTTATTAAATAAACGAACATAAATAAGCTTCCCGTCGAACGGTTCACGAATAGTTCGCTGAACGTTCAGTTCGTTTACAACCCTAAATACAATTATTATTCAAGCTTCGTTTGTTTACGAGCCATCTAATTTTTAATCCTTGTTAGTTATGGATTAAAGTAAAGAATAATTATACAAAAAATTTGTTATACATAAAGATATTAAACTTGCAAATTGAACATCCAATATTATATACATAATGTTTGTAAATTTATGATTAATGATAAAGTTTTCGTTGTCATTATATAGTTATTTTAATTTGTCAAACGTGTAATACATATGGACACCATAATTATTATGTTTGAAAATAATAATTAAGTTTGAAAATCTTAAAATTTCAAATTAAATGGTTAAATATGGTTTTTTTTTTTTTTTTTTTTTTTTTTTTTTTTTTAAGAAAATATGGTTATTGTGAGATATAGGTTTGTATTATGGTGAATATTATATGTGTTATAATATGTATCTCTTACTCACATAAATTATTAAATCATAAAAATATATAAGGTCCCGTTTGATAGATATTTTTTTAGTTTAAAATAGATCTTTCTGACTGAATGAACAGGAAAGACTATTTGATATGTACAAAAAAAAAATTGGTCTTTCCCGATAAGATATATCTTTTCCAGAAAGCTTTAAGAACATATATTTCTGGCTAAAGAGGCTGGAAAGACAATTGTACCACAAACTCTGCCTCTTTTTTTTTGGATTATTAATTTATTTTAAATAATTTTTTAATTTTTTTATTGGATTGTTATATATTAATAAATATTATTTTTAATGTATAATATTTATGTATTAATTAATATTATTTTATTGGATTTTTTATTTCTTTTAAATAATTTTTTTTTTCCTTTTTATGGATTAATTCTATTGGATTATTATATATTGATAAATATTATTTATAAATGTATAATATTTCTATATTATTAAATATTACGTATTGAATTATTAATTTCTTTTAATTATTTTTTTTTAATTAATTTTTATTGGATTAATCATTTTTATAGATAACACCACCATCATCCTAATATATTTAAAAAAAATACCCATCCTATCACTATGAGTCATAAACTGGGTCAAAATTCTAATGTTGAGTTATAAAAAAGTTATAATTGCTAGAAAGAATAACAACGTAACATCAACTTGAAAAAAAAAATAAACTAAAAACAACTTAATCTATATTCTATTTGGATTTTTAAATAAATTATTGTGTAATTTTGATTTTTTATGATATTTTATATGTTTTTATAATTACTCAATCACAATATAGAAAAGCAAAGTAATATTGTTATTTTTATCATTCAGCACAATCAATCAAATATATAATCAAACAACATGGTTTCTTTCATTGTGAGAAAACTTTCATATACAACACTTTTGCGGACAGAAACTATTAAACGAAACCAAAATATTATTTCACTCAAAAAAATAAGGAAATAAACAATTTGAGGGTATATATGTAAATCCACAATTATATTCATATTAATGATATGAGAAAATAAAAATGTGGATACTTGAAAACTAAATGAGACAAATAATCAAACTTTTTAGTTTAAACCAAATCAAATAGGACAAAATAGAAGATCAAAAACTGAAATTGATTTTAATTTTGTTTTGGCAATCCCCGTTTTGATTCTCTCTTTCTGTCCGTACGGCCTCGAATTCTCGTCGTCATAAACACCTTTCGTCTCCCTCTCACACTTCACACACAGGCGACTGATATCATTCACCCCCATTTTCACCAGAAAAATGGCGTCCCGCTGTAGGACAGCTGGACTTGGTTACGTCGCTCCGACTGAAGTCAGTGGAAACACCTGCATTATGGACAAGGCCGATATCGGCGCGGTGGAGAGCCACCGTTACTACCTTGCACGGCGAACTGTCTTGGAAATGTTAAGAGACAGAGGATGCGTCATCGCCGACTACGAGTTCACTCGCACACTCTCTGAGTTCCGCTTGGTGTTTGGCGACGAACCTGATCCCGATCACCTGCGTATATGCGTCCCTCTCTCTTCCAAACCTTCCAAAAAGGTAACCGTATTTTAGGGTTTTGTGTTCTTACACTGTAAATTTGGTACTATTTAGGATTAAACGCGTACATATCCTAACATTGTTCCATATTCATTCGTTTTTTTTGTTTCAACATCTTCCCTAAGCTTCTGATAATTGGCTCTGCTTTTCAATCTCGTAATACTTGTTGACATCATGTTCATATCCACTTATCCAGTAGTGATCTTACGATCATTTTAGATGCGATACAACAGTTTAAGCACATTTTGGGAAGGGAAAAAAACTGCTTATAGTTTCCTACCATGATTTTAGCTTGAATCTGAGTTCATTTTGTTTATTTTTCCAGATTTTGGTTATTTTCTGTAATCCTGGGGATATAAACAAAGCAACAGCGAAGCACATGTTGCTTAACATTACCAACAAGGATACCTTGCTTCGGATTATCTTAGTTTTGCAGGGCAAGATGAACATTCATGCTCGTGCATTGTTCAATGAAAGTGAAGTCAAACTGGAATATTTCCCAGTAAGATACCAAATATCCATACTAATTCAACTCAACTCAAGTTGAATTTCTACATTTTATTAATCTTCTTGTTTTCAATTCTGATTCATCTATCCTATTTTTAGATCACTGAACTGTTTGTGAACATCACCAAACATATTGCTGCACCAAAGCATGAAATCTTGACTGCAGAACAGAAGGAGCAGATGCTTAAGAAGTATGAACTTGCTGACACTCAGGTAAAAAGATTATTCTCTTCAAATTCATCCTGATTCTGATTCATAAAGTCACTTATTAACACAGAATTCTGGTGATATTTGGTATATCCATGATTTGAATAAGCCAAGCTTTATTCTAACAATTTTTTTTATCTAATTAGATTCCATATATGTGGGTGGATGATGCTATTGCAAGGTACTATGGACTTGAGAAGAAGCAAGTTGTCAAAATCACTTACAACAGCAACATAACTGGTTCTTATGTTACCTATCGTTGTGTGATATGATCATATGAATAGCTATTAGAAACATATTACTTAAATCCAGTTTCCAACCACTGTAAAAAAATTCTAGGTTGCAGTAATCTTTTGAAAATTACACTTGATATGTCTGTTAGTGGACAATTTTGGCACAAAGGTGGCATTGAGAAGCTCTCTTTTTACATTTCTTGAATTCCTTTAGCCTACAACTTGACCTCGTACGCGTATTCGACATGGTCGAAATTCCCAGTTTACCCCTAGTCCCCGTCCTATTTACAGATGTTGCCACGTCAGCTTTAGAATTGTTCTTCTGTTTCCCAACTTTCTTGATCGGTTGTTCTTCAAACTTTTTTGCTACTTCTTTCATTTTGGGTAGATCCGGTCTCACAAAAAGAAAACGGTTGCTCCCACAAGAGCAATTAGAGAGTTCTTTATCTGTATAATATATAACATAATGTATTTTTATTAATATTATCACACACCAATTTGGCTAAAAAGAAAATAGCAAGGGTTTCGTTTACCATGAAAAACACATATGTGATGAAAATGACATTTACAGTTGACATGAGCCACGTAACAATCCCGTTTACAGAGGCCACAACTAACGGTTTCTTTGAGATTTGAAGAGACACGTATAGATTTATCCAATGACTTCAACCTCTTAAGGGCATTATCGTACTTTCTTATCATAGATGCAAATGAGATCTTGACAAAAGGTTTATCATCCTTTTTTGAGGAAAGAAAAAGATGCATAGCTTCTTGGCATAGAATTTCTTCATAAGGAATCACAGGCTGCTTTTTAAGAAGTGTGTATCTCTCATTAGCAGCTTCACCAAATGGAAACCAATCACGAGTTGCAAAATTTACAGCCTCCCCACAATTGAATCCTACACATAAATATTTAAATAGATATGAAATTGATATAAACTCTTGATGTACAAATTTCTTGATATACCATGACTGAAACCCGCATGATATGCTCTAGGAAAAGTGACGACAAATTCACCGGGTAATTGAACGAGTTTATAAACCGGGACATGATTCTGTAAAAGTATGTTTGGAGGAAACATGGTTGTTCTTTCTGCAAGCAATTCGAAAGCTCCATTTTTTGATATAATTTGTTTACTATAAACATGATGCTGAATAGCTTCTTCAAACTCATGAGCAGCACTACCAGGAACTCCATACCATGTTTTTGGTGCACCACAGTGATGATAATTTATACTGAAACAAGAAAACATCCATTCAAATCTTATCTACCATGCAGAAATTTACGTTTATTTATTGCTTAGTGCTTACCTATACAAATAGTGATCTTCTACATGCCATGCAAACATACTGAAAAGCATTCCAATGTACAGCATCGGATCAGTTAATCCCTGAAACCAAAAATATTTGGTTATAATAAACGAAAAGTTTCACATATAAAGAAGAGTATCAGATTACTGGAACACTGTTTTTGATCCAATGAAGTGCTGATTTTTGCAATCTTGGAAGTTTCTGAAACCAAAAGATACGTAAAACACATCAAAAATGCTATTGCTATTGATAATTTGATATGATCATATTTAATAGAAAGTGTTGAAAGAAAAGAGATGAAGGATAAGTGTGGGACCTTCAAGTTCCATTTGGTATTTGCAAGATGGTCATTGGAGGAAGATGAGAACGCAGAGCCATCTACATTGACTCCATATTCAACTGTTCCCTTGTTGCCACGTGTCATTGCATGCCAGAATTCCTTTTCCAAGTATGCAGATGGAAGACATCCAGATAAACAGTATTTATTAGCAGTTGCCCTGTTTGCCATGACCTCAAAATCACGAAGACTGTAGCTTCTGAAACAAACAATAATGTCATATCAAAAAATGGTAGCAACACAAGGATGAAAAAGAAAATATAATATTGTCTACTTTGTGCTAATGAAGAATGTGTTGTTGTCATTATTTGTAGTCCATTTAGCAACACGAAGGGGCTGGACTTTTGGTGTGAATCTGAAACCTGGTTTCTCCTTCATCATTATAACACCAGTTGGAGTAGTTGAAGTTATAGGAGGAACAATCTTGCATATTCCTATGGACAGAATAATACAAGTAAATTAGTGAAAACAAGTGAATAGATTGGTTAAAGTGATGCATGTATACTAACCATATTTTGATGCTTGTGATGCGATTTTTTGAAGATACTGGAATGGATCCTTGAAATCCTCCACTGAAGGATGATAAACTGGAGATTCTGTGATCTGATTTGTCCATTCCAGATGATGATATTGATCCGCATTTGTAGAAGATTTGAAATGTGTATTTGATTTATTACTTGCTTTTGAAGATTGCTTATGGGGTCTCATATAGTCGTTAAGTTTCAGTTTTATGGGGATACTTGATTTCCTTTGAATACACACATCACAATCAGATGCTTCAACCTGTGAACAATTTTTTGGTGTTTACTTCAGGATTTGAAGAAATAAACAGGGAAAATGAGAAAGTATAGTTCAGAAACGAATGAAGAATTTGTGGTCCGGAAAGAAGGAAATTAAAATGTGTAAGCACGCCAAGTGTTTGTTTTATTTCAAGACAAGATTCAAATAGTAATTCATTCATTCATAAAGAAATCGATCTTCATAAACTGTGAAATTGGAAAGCATATATGTATGAATATGATCATATATAAAACTTAACTAACAGTACGTAGGAGTAGTTTCTGAAGCGAAATTAACTGTGCATGCGACCATTTGTGGCCTGGATTTCGAGGATGAAAAAGCGAAGGGGTGATGGCTTTTGTTCGTGATAACCGTCGGTTATAATTTCTTCTCGTAAAATTGTACTTTTAATTACGAAATTGTTCTTTGTAATTTTCATATTACTACGAAGATTATAATTTCTTATGAAAAACACTTTTTGAAGTTTTTTTTGGCAGTGATATTCAAAACCATTTTCGAAGCAAAATAAGCTTCGTGGCTTGAAAATAAAATGTTAGTTTGAGACCGATTTTCCAAAAATAAAATGTATACATAGGAAAAAGTTTAAAAAATGTTTTACGCAGCAAATAGTGCATTTTGGTTCTTATTTTATTGTATAATGTCCTCATGTTAGGCAAGAGGCTAGAAGTGGAATTACACACAAAAATTCTAGGTTTAAACTCTAACTTACAAAATATTATTAATGTTCTATCATTGATCTTTTATATGGGAACCCGTAGATCGTTCAGAGGATGTATTATACAATTTTTTTATTAAATCGTATCATTTTAATGGCCCACATCAACTACCCCCAAATCCATATTGGAGGTTAATCGTGGAACATTAAAAATATTTTAAAAGTGTCAAGGTTCAAATATTGAACATTTTGTGTGGAGATTCACTCTTCAACCATTCAGCTCTTATTTAGTGGATATCATTTTGCAATAGTCAATGTTAAAGTTAAAGACACAAATGTGATTTACATCATTTTGATAATTGGGCTCACTTAATTCAAGAGTTGTCCAAAGTATGTCCTCATTGCTCCACTTGAAACACCCTTAGTTAGGGTAGTTTTAAGTACCACTTAAAAACCTTTAAATTTTAATAAAACTAATTAAGAGTTTTAATTGGGAAAAATCATACAGTACCATAGTTTAAAACTAAATTTAGAAAATAATATTTCAAAAAAAAATAAATTGTGTGAAATTAGTTTCCAATGTACCAAAATATAGAGTTTTCGTTTAAAACCTGATGTGGTAATCAATTTAATGATCACAAGTTCAAATACAACCTCACAAAGAGAGGTCTTCAAAATATTATCGTTACTTCTAAGCAACTCTTGATTCTTTGATCTGGGTACAAATCAAAATAAGTTAGCGAATATAATTGTCTAGTGACAATACCCAATGTTGACTCATTTAGAGTAATGATGATGAAACCAAACCCCAAAATCAATATAAACATCAACAAATACCCTAAGTATTAATAAACCAAAATGATATAGTATTGAGACTCAAATAACCAAAAGAAAAGGGTATATATCCATATTCACATTCAAGAATATAAAATCTATAAACCAAAATCGAAGAGTCATACATACTTATAAAGCTAACATTTTTTCTTGAATTTCATGCATTTGAAATCCTCTTTTTTAACTTCCTCAAACCACATTCATTTGAAACTTCATTTTTTAACTAATGCAACTCAAAAGTTTTCTTAATTATGATTTAACACTCAAAAGTTTTATAACTTATATTATGTTTAATTAGCATTTAGTGAAAAGTTTACTATAAAAAGACCAATCTTTTTTGTCTTTTGTGTTATATAAAATCTTACATGTATGAAGGATTTGAAGATATTGTGATTCAAAAGTTTTCATATAACTGAAGCATTCATGATCCAAATATGATGATTTGAAGAAATGAGTTATGTCGCATCGATGGTAATTGTAATATGATTTTTTCTTTCAACCAAATCAAATGAATCTTTTATATTCTTTCTTTATATTCAGTTTCTCATTTAATCTTTATATGTCATTTGTTTGTATTACTCAATCTTGAATGTTTTGCTTGGAATATCTTTCTGATTATTTTTTTTCAAGGAAAATATTTTGATTGCAGGTTAATGAAGAATTGTCATCAAGTTTCTATGGTTGAATGGTGTTAAATGAAGAAAGAAGATTCATAAAATGGATATAGGTTTTTTTTTGTTTGAACAAAGTTGACGAATATTAGTTTTTTCTTTCGATTTAAATGTATGCATATGTAACATCTTTATATTAAACCACCTAATGCTCTTATTTATTTTATTGTAGTTTTTCTAATTTGATTATGTTTATTTTCTACTTTTTTTTGTTGGGTTATCCTACACAACATATATAAAAGACTATATTTAAAAGATAACATAATTTTGAACATTTGATATGTAATTATGATAGATTTATCATGATATGTTTTTTTATATAAAAGTAACTTATCCATATTATTACGACAAAAATTACATATGACATTTACGAATATATATATATATATATATATATATATATATATATATATATATATATATATATATATATATTATATGTGATTTGTTTAACATGTATATGCACCTATGTATGTTATAAATTTATAATTAAATACATTTATATTTGTTTATTAGTTACAACTCAAGAGTTTTTAACTTATAATTATTAATTAGTAATCACTAATAAATTTTTATTTTCCTTTTTTTTTTATAAAGTTGTAAAGTTTTGCTCTCTAAAAACATTAATGTATTTGAAGAGATTTGTGATTTAAATATGAAAAGTTAATATAAATGTTATAATAGATGTTTTAGTGTTTTTATGTTATTAAAAGTTATAGTGTTTATTTTTCATATTTTTTTATTATTCGTTGTATATATATCTTTTTTAATACAAATGTTATAATAAATGTTTTTCTATTTTTATATTACTAAAAGTTGCAGTTCATATTTTTATTCATATGTTTTATTACCTGTTATATTATCATTCATTTGATATATAATTTACACAATTTTAAACGGTTTATAAAATTATCAAATAATTGTATATATCACAACGACTTAAAAATAAAACTATAATGTTTAATAAAACTAATATGTTAATTATATGTTTGCTTTACTACTAACATTTTATTTTAAAGTAGAAATATTAAATAATAATTTGGTAAAAATTATTATTTTAACTATATAATTTTATTCTCGCGCAACGCGCGAGAATTCGCCTAGTTGGAGGACTTATTAACCCATAATTTATAACACGAGAATTATTATTCCAAAGTTTAAATCAAAGTGATAATTAATAAATATCCTAATCCACATCAAAATAACGTTGTAAGGATACAAACCAAAACAAAAAGGCATTAAACATACCCAGAAAGTCAAAGCATTGGTTAGAAAATAATGACATATCATGTCAAAGTTTCAAAAGGGTAAATAAAGAATAAAGAACCGAATAATATCCAACGCATAAACTATTCTCAACCCTTGTTATTCTCATAAAGTCCAACGCACCAAAATAGATCATTTAACTTGATAATCATATAGGAATGGTTACTCCTGAATTTTGCCACAAGCCTTAGACTCATAGGGGAATAGTTACCCATGACTTTTATCCAAGTTTAAACAAAACTAGAGAACCATCAACCTCACACAAGAGGTAGATAGCCTCTACTTATGCATGTAAGAGGATTATCTAGAAATCTAATCACAACAAACTAAACAAAAATTATCAAATTTAGATACCGAAGATCTCTCAGTCAACCCATCCTAGCATTTTTGCAACAACTAGAATGTTCAAATCCATTTCAAACTATGCATAGATTTTTCTCAAAAACATTTGATATCACAAAATGATTTCATGAATGCAAATAAGTACCAATTATACTCACATAATGTAATGCACATATATTTGGACTACTTAAGTTTGATAAAATAAGCGTTAAAAATGATTTTTTGATAGAAGATTATTTAGAATAAATAATCTTAACCAAAGTATACTATATGTCACAAGGATTTTGTACATAAAAAGAAAGATGAAATCAGACTTATAACGAAGAAGTTATGACATATCGAAGTTTTAAGACTAAACCGGCACGACGCCGCGTATCGTAAAAAGTAAATTTTTGATAAAATATTTTTTAGCCTTAGCAATCTAAATGAAAGTCGTTGTATACGTTAAACCGAGAACATACATAAAAAGAACATCGAAATCTGAAAGATATAAAGATAGTTGAAAACATAGCATAGCATTGTACAGCCCGAAAATTTAATTTTAGATCGATCGTTTTTTAGCCGACACAACCTAAATGAGAATTTAAGATCTCATTAATAGGAGCTCAAAGATATAAAGATAGTTGAAAACAGACATCGGATGACAAAGTTATGAATTTTTAACGAACTTTAACTGTCTAAGCCTGTTAAAATATAACTTTAAAAATTAATTCAAAACTAGACGACATAGTCTAAATGAAAGTTGCATATCCCATCGATACGTACACATAAATATAAATAACGTAAAAAACGGAGCTTGTATGCAAAAGTTACAAAATTTTTAAGATAATTAGTTTTTGAGTAACCAGCGAGTGACACATGACACGATTTGAGCCTATGCTTCCTCCCCATGCCTTTCCACCAAGTGGTCACACATGGTATGAGTATGCCCAGCGTACTCATCTAGTACGCCCAACGTACGACCTTCATACATGTTATAAATAGAGCCGTAAATCAATTCATTTCTTTACACATTCTCATTCATTCTATCCCAAACACTCCAAACCCCTTTAAGCCTTTCGCTAGCACCTCCCGGGTGCTAGAAGTGAGTCCCGGAGCGCTAAAAGGCCCCGAGAAGAAGAGCTCTCGGCTTAGAAGTTATGCTCGCGCAGATCCCAGTTCCTCGCTAAACTCTCTTGTAAGTGAGTTATGCTTACCCTACTTTAATTATAACTTATGTTTAAGTTCATTATCGTTATTATGAACCTATAAACAAGATTTATCAATGATTCCAAGTCATTATAATGATTGATCTACTTACAGGGATGATGTCTAGGCTGTGATTCAGTGAGGTGTTTAAAGTGAGATTTCCAAACAGTATACTTCGTATACCAAATGAACCCTACCTCCGATATGATCCTACCTTGTTGTTCCTTACTTGATAGATCTTGAAGTAGACTTTGATTTAATGATGAATCTAGACTAATAATTAGTCGCAATAAATAACTAAAACTTAGCGATAATAATGCTAGGTTGCGTCAAAGGAAAAGATGATTTCTAGAAGCGA